CGCGCGGCAGCCCCGGCCGGCCGATCGGGGGCGGGGGGGAGGGAGGGGGTGGTGGGGGGCGCCTCTGCCCCGGGCGCCCCGGGCCCCGCGCCCCTCGCCCCGCGCGGCTCCCCCGCCCGGCCCGGCTCAGCTGCCTCATTGTTTATTGTGGCGTCTGGCTCTCCCCCTTCCCGTCCCCCTCCCGCGCGCCGCCCGCCCGCTCCTTTCTTCCCTCCTCCCGAAAGAAAGAAGAGCCCGTCTGTGGAGACGAATGAGTCATGAATAAACAAACAGCGTGGGGGAGCTGTCACTCCGAGCTGACTTCCTGGCCGCGCTCGGCTCCGCGACCTCCCGGCGGGCCGCAGAAGCCCGGCCGGCTAGGGCGGGCCGCGGGGCAGGCTGGGCGCCCGGCGCGGGTGGGGTGCGCGGCACCCCGATCGCCGGGCTGTCCTTGACCACGGCCCTCACGGGCATCGCGGCCGTCAGCGGGAGCGGGTGTGACCTGAAGTTCCCAGACCTATCTGCACACGCATGCTGAGGGCTGGGAGTCTGATTTCCCTGGGCTTGACAAAAGCCATACGCCATGGAAAGGCGAGGCATGTGAGCATCTGCCGCGTGGGTTCATTTCCCTGTGCCGGCTCCCCCTCTGTGATGTGTGCTGCAGAGGCAGGGCCGCTGGGAGGACCCGTGCGTATGGGTTGTGTGTGCCCGGGTGCCTGTCTGGAGTGTGGGATACACAAGGGCGTGCGTCTGTGTCCGGGCTGGTGGCCAGTGTGTGTGTGCGCAAGTCTGTTATGTGACCATTTTCCGGACTCTGAATTTGCTTCTGCCACTTTAAGCTTTGAGATTCTTGCTTTGTGCTTAGTTCTTTACTTGGTCCTTTTTCCTTTCCCTTGTGTGATCTTGTGGGTCATTCAGGGCCATCTCTCCCCATTAGTGAGGCCCCCCGGCCCCAGCAGACCTCCAGGGTCTGGCCTGGCTGGCCTTAGCGTCCAGCCAGCTGTGGCCACACGCAGGCTCATAACGCTGACTCATGCCTGGCGAGAGCAGAGAAGCGGAGTCTGACCAGGAACCAGGCTGGGTGAACCCCCCACTGTGGGGAGGGCACTCTGGGCCTGGCCTGCGAGTGCCCCTCATGAACTCTTGAGCCTGGGGAGAAGGCCTGGGCTAGCCCAGACATTCTGGGGGCTTCTCGC